CCCCCTCCCCCTCTCGCCTCCCCAAACACGGTGTCCTTTGAAGGCAGAGCCTGACCTGCACCCGAGCAGGACGGGCTCCTAGGCATTGATCCAGCTCCCGCGCTGGGACCAGGAGCTCGGCACATGCTCTTCTGCTGCAGAGAAACGCATTCTGATGCTGAGACAGGCTCTGCCTCTCTTCACAGTGCCAGGTGGAGCTCAACAGGAAAGTGCTGGCCGACCTGGCCATCTATGAACCAAAGACTTTTAAATCCTTGGCTGCTTTGGCCAAAAGGAGGCGAGAGGAAGGATTTGCCGCCGCCTTGGGGGACGGGAAGGAGCCTGAAGGCATATTCTCCAGGGTGGTGCAGTACCACTGAGGGCCTTCTGCAGCGCCCTCTGCAGCGGCGTCGTAGGAAAAGGCGTTCCCCATGACCATCATGAAAACGGGCGAGAATCCTTGGCCAGGAACGAGTTAGGCTTGACTTGCAGTTGTGTTACTTGACATCTCAGTCAAGGAAAGGCCTGTCTGTCCTCCTCGGGACAGACCAGCGGCCGCTTGTAGATTGTGTCAATAAAGCTGTGTGCTGGTCAGCGTCTTCACTGTGTCCTCTGGCGTCAAGCAGACACCTCTGTGCTCTCCCTCCATGTGGGGGGAGAGGCTGTCAGGGTGAGGGGTCAGTTAGCATCTGCCTTCCTCTGGGAACCTTGGGTCCTCTCCCGAAAGTGAGGTGTTTGCACCAGGACTCTGAAGTCTGACCCTGGCTCCCCACAGCACTCTGGTGCCCACCCAGCACACAGGCCCCCGCCCGCTGACTGCCTATGCCTGCCTCCGCCCTCTACCCTTCCCGCCTTCCCAGCGGGGACCCTGTGCCAGCCTGTTTCCCTGCTGTCTCCCTTGTTCCCCAGGCCAGGAGGGGCAGCAGCCAGGGGGCTCTTCTGGTCCCACTCACCTTAGCCCCCAAGGATGGGTGATCACCTGGGAAGACCCCTCCCCCAAATACGCCACTTGAGTCCAGAGGCAAGCCCAGGAGTAAGTTCTCAGCATGCTCGCCCCACTGATACTGCACAGCAGCTGTGCCAGCCCTGGCCCCGCCCCCTCATCCCGGACATCACCCTATGGGAGATGCAGGGTGCTCCCGCCTCTCAGGGCCAGGCCTTCGCCTTCTGGGAGCTGGTTCCACGCTCAGCCTCAGCCCCTGTACTGAGACCACTCACTTCTGGGGCATGTTCTGCCTCAGCCCCACTCTGGTCTCCACCTCTGGCCTGTTAGCGTCTGCATTCACCCCAATGGCTCTCATCAAAGCCATCGTCTGAACCCTATCCAACCGTTCCTGTCAGCCCTGGACCCCAAAGGACCATGCACTCCCCTCCCCCTCACTCCCCTCTAGGGCTCTGCCGGCCCAAAGCAGCATTCACTGCTTGCTGGTGACTCCTGCATTTTTCCCCGTCTTCCCCCACTTTTTTTTTTAAATCCTCACCCAAGAGGTGAGATCTATTTTCCATTGATTTTTAGAGCGTGGAGGGGAGGGAGAGAAAAACATTGATTGGTTGGCTCCTTGCTCCGACAGAGGCAGGGATGGAACCTGCAACTGAGAATCAAACCCTTGACCCTTTGGTCCGTGGGCTGATGCTCTAACCACTGAGCAAAAATGGCAGGGCCGTCTTCACTCTTTTTTTAGAATATATTTTATTGATTCTTACAGAGAGGAGGGGAGAGGGACAGAGAGTTAGAAACATCGATGAGAGACATGGATCAGCTGCCTCCTGCACACTCCCTACTGGGGATGTGCCCGCAACGAGGTACATGCCCTTGACCAGAATCGAACCTGGGACCCTTCAGTCCGCAGGCCGAGGCTCTATCCACTGAGCCAAACCAGTCAGGGCTTCCCTCCACTCTTACTGCCCCCACGCTGGGTCCTGTGGTGACACCATCCTCCATCCTTTGCCAGCAGTCTCCTGGAGGTCCTCTGGGTTCCTTCCTCAGACTCAACACCCACCTCCAACCCCCATCCAGAGCCGGTCAGGTCATGCCCATCTATTGCCTGGTGACCTGCCCACTTTCCTCCATCCTCACTGCAGGCCAACATCCCTTCTGGCTCCAGTCACTGCACTGGCCTAAGAACCCCCTCCCGGCCCTTGTCACCGTGTGCGATGATGGCCACTAGACTGGAAACATTTCAAGGCTTGGGGACGAGTCTTGTTCCCTCTCGTTGCACCTCGTGCAGGGCTGGACTATGTGCACAAGGTGCTCAGTGCACACGCTCGTCAGTAAATGGCTCCTGGGCAACAGGGTGGGGGACACAAGGAGCCCTTGGTGTGGTGTGGGCACAAAGCCCTGCTGTGGCGGAGCTGCCTTTATCTCAGTCAAGGATGGAGGGGGGGAGGTGGCAGACAACTGCGGGCTGCTCCCAGCCCTCCCCCTCCAACCACCGGACCATTTCCCTTCCCGGGCCTGGGCCTGCCTGGATAGAGCCACAAGCTGTTTGCTGGGGCTTCCAGACAAGAAGTTACTCCTCTCCCACCATTAGCTCTGGTGAGCGTTTGGGACAACTAGCAACAGATGAGGAATATTGCATGCTCCTCTGGTACAGCTGTGAGAGCAGCACGCTGTCAGGTGACGTCACTACCACCAGACGCTGGCAGCCACTGACCCAGAGAGCATTGGATACAACCGACCAGGAAGTGGGGGGTCAGTGGAGTGAGGAGTTCATCCGGGTGTCCGCACCTCCAGAGCTCCCACTGCTGGTAGGAAGAAGTCCGAGGCCTTCACCACAGCCCCTGGGACATCCCGGCCTGGCCCCCTGCCCACGATGCCTTTCCTTGGGGTGCCATGGGCTTTGGAGAAACATGGAGTTCGGTGTTTCCAGCTACCCCTCTTCCCTGTGAAGTCAATTCTGCTTTGTTCTGTCTTTGGCTCCATTCTGAATGCAAGAACTCTGGTGACTTATTATTTGCAACCCAAACGCTGGGCTCACCAAGAACTGGAGAGCAGTGACGCCAGTCGCCACGTATTAACGCAGGCAAACAGAACACAAGAGCCCTCTAAGAACCAAACCCAGAAAGCTTCACAACACAAAGGCGGGAGGTCGGGTCCGGGAGAACCTTCCCTTTAGCTCCGAGCCGAGGAGGAAAACGGAGCTTCGCTGGCCCTGTGGGCGCCGCACCTGCCCGCTCACCGGACCTGGAGCTACGGGGACAAGGGGTCTTCTCTGGGTCCCGGATGAGCCCCAAATATGCCGGACGTAAGGAGGGGAGTGGGAGATTGCAATCCGAAATCTGTCGTCAAGGCCGGCCAAGTGGAGGTTTCCGTCCGGAGGAAAATGGGTGCAGTACAGTCGAGAGCGGAAGAGGAAGTTAAGGGCAGGGGCCCGTCACCACCATGGGGCTGGGTGTTCCCGGCGACGAGGGTGCGAGAGCCCCTCCTGCACGCGTCTAGGTCAACCTTTCTGACCTAAATGTTGACACCCTCAAACACCTGGGGGTCCCGCCAGGCTCGGGGACGCAGCCCACAGCGGAAGAGCAGCTGCGGACCCCGGCGCGTGCCCTGGTGGAGGTGTCGTCCCGCCGGGTCACACCGCCCGCGCCACGGGCCCTCACCCAATGCCTTCCGGTGCCCGAAAACCCTTTCGGGAACAACCGGGCCCCCAAGAAGCCTTCGGGCTCCCGAACTCTCGAGCTGGTGAGGAAGAGGCAGCTCCGCCGGGACGGCGCAGGGCGGAACCTGCAGCGAGCGCTTCCGGGTTAAGGCCCAGACCGCAGTCTCTTCCGGGCATGCGGGGCCCCCTGGGTAAGGAGCAGGTCCCCCGCCCGCGCCGGGTTCCGACTTCGGGCGCGACGCTCACGGGCAGTTCTACTAGCCAATAGTGGCAAAGCCTCCTTCTAAAAGATAGTCATAATGTTTCAACTAGTGATAAATTGGTGGATGCACAAAATATAAACCCTGCACTTGCAAATGATTTGCTAATGTAGAGTTCTTTAAAAAGCGAAAAATAAACCTCACTTTCGACCACTTTTATTAGCAAGGTTTTTTTTTACTTGCTAATAGATGACAGATTAGAGAATTAAAGCAGCCAGCTACATAGAGTATTTACATCTCACTGTTAGTACCAGTACAGATTTTTAATTGCCCGTAGATCTCTCCATGACACTAAGGGAATATGTCTATGTTGCTGAGCAACAAGATGTTGGCATGAAAATCCCAGTGGCTCAAAAGAACATAGCTTAAAAGCTCAGGTAGTTTTATAAAAAAAAGAAAAAAGAAAGAAAAGAAAGAAAACGTGTGTTTTTCTGCTCCGCCCCGGGCCCTGCGGATCTCGGGTCGTGCGCGTTTCAAGCGACGGCACCCGTTGTGTCTTCCAGGTGGCCATGGCGACGGGGCAGGTGCTGTTCCAGCGTTTCTTCTACACCAAGTCCTTTGTGAAGCATTCCATGGAGGTAGGGGTTCCGCCCGGTTCCCCTGAACCGTGTGGGGGGACCAGGGTGGGTCCCTCCGGGGGGCTCCTGGGAACGGGGCAGCGCCGCCCTGGGGGGTCGGGAAGCCCCTCTTCCTGGGGCGCCCGCTCGGGGCCCTCCTCACCCTGGAGCCGCTGGAGGCCGGCTCTGGCGCAAACACCTGCTGTTGCCATTCAGCACGTGTCGATGGCCTGCGTGCACCTGGCCTCCAAGATCGAGGAGGCTCCGCGGCGGATCCGGGATGTCATGAACGTCTTCCACCGCCTCCGGCAGCTGCGGGAGAAGAAGTGAGTCGCACCTGCCCGCCGCCGCCTCGCGGTTGTAAGGGACACGTTCCTGGAGCAGAACCCAGGGTGGGGGGTGTTTGCTGTTGGTCCTCACCCGAGGATAGCTCCCCTTGGTCTTCAGAGAGGGAAGAGAGAGAGCGATGTGCGAGACACGTTGATGGTTGCCTCCCGCACGCCCTGGGCCAGAGATGCAACTGAGGTCCGCCCTTGACGGGGATCGAACCCGGGACCCTTGGTCTGCAGGCCGATGCTCTATCCACTCAGCCAAGCTGGCTAGGGCCAGGGTGTGAGGTTTTTAGACGCGTGGCCAGAAGGGGGCCTGTGCCCCGGGGTCCCCAACACGCTGCCGAATGTGTTTAGGGGGCAGGTGCGGAGGGCACTGGCCTCAGGTTGCTGGGTGGGGTTCCCCGTTTCCTGAAGCTGAGGGAAGTCCTTAGGGAACCAGCCTGGCTTCTAAAGGTTGTGCTTCAGCCGGTGGCTCAGTGGTCGAGCCTGGGCCTGTGGGTCAGGAAGTCGCGGCTGGGTCCCCATCTGGGCACTCGTCTGGGTTGTGGGCACCACCCCAGTAGGGAGCATGCAGGAGGCAGCCAGTCCTCACCACCGATGTTTCTATCGCTCTGTCTCCCGTCCTCTCTCTGCAATCGGTAAAATGTATTTAAAAGCAATAGTAATAAAGGTGGTGCCTCCTTTGGCTCATTCATCCCCAACACAGGCCCCTGTTCCTGCAGCCGGAGAGCATGGGCCCCGGTGCGGGAGGTCTGAGCGCGGTGGGGCCGGGAGGCTGCGGAGGGGGTTAGCGCTGGCCCTGTAGGAAGACCTTGGGGTCGAAGGACGGGACCTTGCCGTGTCTGTTCTGGGTGTTTATAGTAGATTCCCATGGGGTGGGGGTGGGGGGGTGGCTAAAGGATTTGAAAGCGTCGTTTTGTTTGACACACTCTCCGCTGTGCTGTCTAGGAAACCGGCGCCGCTCCTGCTGGATCAAGAGTATGTGAACCTGAAGAACCAGATCATAAAGGCGGAGAGACGGGTCCTCAAGGAGCTGGGCTTCTGCGTCCACGTGAAGCACCCGCACAAGGTGGGTCTGGGCCGCGGGGCCGCGGGGTCACTGGAGTCACTGCCTCCTTCCCCCCGAGACCGGAACTCCGGGACAAGTGTGTGTCCCTGCCGGCTGTCCGTTCTGTCCGTCATCTGAAAGCGCTCCTTACCGTCAGCCTCTCGTGTTTCCTGCTCACCTTGGGTGTTTCTCAGAGCTTTGGGAGGGGCCTTTATGTTTGGTCTTTCAGGAATCGTGATGAAGTTGTACAAATGGCACCTGTCCGTTCACCTTTTTCTTTTTCAACAATTGTTTTTTAGTCCTCACTTGATACGTTTTTGCTTTAAAAGAAAAGATTTTAGTGAGAGAGAGAGAGAAATATTGACTGCTTGCCTCCCGTATGTGCCCCAGCTGGCGATCAGGAACTTGCCGCCTTTTGGGACGGAGGACAACCTCCCACCACTGAGCCACCTGGCCAGGTCTCAACAGCTAATTTTCTGAAGTTGCTTTAGTAATGGCTTCATCTCCTCTTATAACAGCCGTTTTGCGGGGAGTGTTAGCTGAGAAGCTAGGCTACTGTAGGATATTCTGGTTCCTTCTTTGTTTTGTTCTTGTTTATTTTGACATTGATTTTGGGGGCTGGGGATCTGTTCCTCCACTTACTTCGCATTCGTTGGCTGCTGCCTGTGTGCGCCCTGGAACCCCTGCCTTTGGGTATGGGGACAATGCCCTAACCAACTAGCTACCCAGCCAGGGCCCAAAGCTTGTTTTATTTATTTATTTTTAAAAGTTAACCTATTTTAAAAATATATTTTTATTGCTTTCAGAGATTAAGGGAGAGGAGAGATAGAAATATCAATGATGAGAATCATTGATCAGCTGCCTCCTGCATGCCCCCTACTGGGGATCAAGCCTGCAACCTGGGCATGTGCCCTTGACATGAATTGAACCTGGGACCTTCATTCTGCAGGCCGACGCTCTATCCACACAGCCAAACCAGCCAGGGCCCAAAGCTTGTTTTAAAAATTATTGCTATTTGCATCTTTTTCATCCCCTTGTTATTGGGGGCCTTCCTCATACTCTCTTTTTTATTTGACTTTCTGGCATTAATTCAAAACCTCAGTCAGTTGCCATAGATTTAAGAGCTTTTTTTCATTTGCTGGAAGTATTTTCACACCGTGTTTTGTGTAAGTTGGTGATGGGGTGCAGAGCTGTTGAGGGCAGGCTGATGTCACGGGTGAAAAACAAGGCCTTCCCTGTGGGTGCAGGTTGGGCCTTGTGCTTTCTGGCTGCCTGGTGCAAAGGCAGGGAGATGTCAGCACAAAGCCCTCCAGCTGAGCTGTCCACGGGGCGTGACCAGGAGCCACCCTGGGATCTAGCATGAGACTTACTTGCTGCGTGGGCGCCCTCAAGATCTGAGATCTGGATTCCAAGGTTCTTGGTAATAATTGCCTGACCCGTATCTTCCAGATAATCGTTATGTACCTTCAGGTGTTAGAGTGTGAGCGTAACCAACACCTGGTCCAGACCTCATGGTGAGTTGATTTTCCTTGTTTTATGAGACCAGCGGGGCAGGCAGGAATATGTGGCTTTAAGGCACGTGGGCAGTGGGTAGTCGGTCCCATGACGTGGCTGTGGGCTAGAGCTATCTGAGTGCCCAGTGTTCCTGCCATGTAAATTCCAACCAGCCTCCCACATATCAGGCACTAGTGTGATGGTAAGGTGGCCCACACCTGCCCCTGACCCCCGAGAGCAGTCGGCAGGCTTCCTGTGGGGGCTGTAGACGGGCTCTTAGCCACGGGTGCGGGCGGAGTCTTAGTCCTGTCTCTCCTGTGCAATTGCTCCCAGCCGTCTCCACTGAAGAGTCCTGTGGGAGAGGGGTGTAAAGTGCGTGTACAATTCTGGGGACTGGTTTTAAGGCCTATGTTAGAAGTGAAGCCCGAGGTCACAGGGTAGTGCTGGGTGTTCTGTGAGCTTTCCCCGCGGAGTTAGGTCTGTAAGGGTCATATTGTGCTGCCTGAATTGTCTGGTGCTGTGCTGTGTCCAAGAGAACCCGTTTTGACTTTTCTTTTCTGTACTCTTTCAATCAAAGGGGAGCCTCTGAGGGTAAGTGACTAAGACTCCTCCTCTGCTGCCCACGCGCTTCGGTGCAGGGACAGCGGCCGTCCTCAGCCACTCCCGGGCAGGCTCACCGAAGGCTGGCCTGATGGTGGTATGCTCACGATAGTCTAGTGCTGGCCGACGCTGCTGTGGTTCTGATGGTTGCGCTTCTTGTTAACCTCTGTCGTGCTTTGGTAATTGTATTGATTAGACTTGATAACTGTCTTGACTTGAATTTTGTCCCTTTAAAACTGCTGTACCTACCTGTGCACTAAAGATGCAATACCTGTCTTTGAGAAAAATCTATGGAAAGCTGTAAGAATTGGCTGATGGGAACTGGGACTTGAGTATGGATTATGGCATCATTTCTGCAGGTTCTAGGGCTGCCCTTTTCAGCGGCTGCGTAAAGGTAATGCATCTTTAGATGACCCCACGGGCACTTTATATTGTAACATTTCAAATGTAGCAATCAGCTTAAGTATATGTTTGAGGATTTGTTTTGTTTTTAGGACTTAAAAGTTAGTAGATTAATATTATCATCACTATTTGAGTATTGAAAATGTTTTATTAAGACCAGAAAACTTCTCGATGGTTATGTGTATGAAATGTTTGAACTGTTCATTTGCAATGCTCTGGTTCCCGGGTCTTGGTCCCCTCACACTTTTTCTCGGTCACCTCCTGGTGCCGCCCGTCACGTGCAGAGCTTGAGAAACCTTGGAGTGGATTTGTCTGTCACCTTCTCCGGGGCTTGGGAGCAACGATACCGGGTGGGGGTGGGGGGATATCAGGCACATCACAGCAGGATTTGGCTCGCCTGCGGGTGCAGCCTGACTCAGGCTTGTCATGTTGGGGTGTGTTGGGAGCAGTGACTGTGTGACTGTTCGACTGTTCTCTCATGGAATTAATCCTTGTGTGTGCAATCATATAAAGTTTCATATGAGGTCAGATTTTGCTCTGTTAAATCTTAGAAAATACATATGAAAGAAAATGTTAAATGTAGCCAATTTTAAAATGTTACCTTTTAAAAATGCAAGTTATTTTTGTATTTCTGTTTTCTATGATACAGTTTTTAAATGTACTGATTATGGTGAAATTGTAGTATTTTGATGCTCTTGTCTGATTTTATGAATATTCATTTTAAGACTCCTTGTTGAAATGGGACAGTTTGGAAATGATTCTTGGATAGGCCTGAGAAGAGGACTGCCCTCGGGCACTGAGCCCTCCTGGCCTGCTGTTCCCATGCTCCCAGGGCGATGCTCCCTTCCGAGCGGACTCCCTCATGGAAGAAGGAGGGCCAGGCTGTGGACACCTCTTGAAGGAAGAGGAACGCAAGAGGACGGCTGGTCTCGGAAAAGCCTGGTGGCTCCGTGCTCGGCAGTCCATTGAGTTTGCATGTTTCTCTGCACTACGGATTCTGAGCGCTTAGATTTCTTTAACCAAGTACTTTCTCACCCCTGTTTTCTTTCTGAGGCATTGTGCTTTGCATGAGAGCAGGCCAAAGTTGAGAGGGAAAAGTAAAGTTAAAGTTGGTTCTCTTTCATAGCAACACCGATTGACATTCAGCCAGCTTAAAAATTTTTTGCCAACAATTTCCCCATCTAACTGTCCTGTGTTCAGAGAAAACAGAACGTTTTTTTCCTGAACTCAAGCGTCACAGGACTGTATCTCCGGTCCTAGCAGTAGGCTCCTTAGAGGAGCAGTGGCCTCCCTAGATAAGGCCGATGGGTGTCCTGGGTTGCCGGGGTGTTGCAATTCTTCCTACACTTGGTTTCAGGAATTACATGAATGACAGCCTTCGCACAGATGTGTTTGTGAGGTTCCAGCCCGAGAGCATCGCCTGTGCCTGCATTTACCTTGCAGCCCGGACACTGGAGGTCAGTGCTGCGCCCCAGGCCCTTTCTCCAGCCTCCAGAACGCTGAGGTGTCGGGTTCAGATTGTGCTTTGGTGACCAGCAGGGTGGCTTTGACTTCACTGAGCCCTTGTTGGCGTGAGGACAAGCATAACCGGCAGCATTTGTTTTCAGATTCCTCTGCCCAATCGTCCCCATTGGTTTCTTTTGTTTGGAGCAACTGAAGAAGAGATTCAAGAAATCTGCCTGAAGACCCTGCAGCTCTACACTCGGAAAAAGGTGGTTCTGTGTGTGTTTTTCATGTGACATGTTTGTGTGTGACTAGAAGCACCTGTTTCTGAACGGATGGACTTGGCTCCTCCAGGTTGACCTGACACACCTGGAAAGTGAGGTGGACAAGAGGAAGCACGCCATGGACGAGGCAAAGGCGCAAGCCAGGGGCCTGCTGCCCAGCAGCGCCCCTGCCCTGGACAGCACCTCAGGGTTCTCGCCTGCCCCGAAGCCCGGTGAGTCTGCTTCCTACAGGCCACCCTCCTTCCTGCAGACGGGTCTGCGCTCCTCAGGCACCGGGTCTGCCACGGGCACTTGGTGACCTTGGAGATGAGACAGGACTCCTCAAGGGATTGGCTTTCCTCGGTTCATTGTCATGGCAAGGGCTGTGGACGGGCTTTCCAAAACGTTTTTGTTTACCCAGCCGACCCGGGTGTAGAGATGGGGCGCCCTCCACTATGTCCTCAGGGCCGAGAGTTAGCACGACACCTTTCCCAGTCCCTGTGGGAAGCTGGGCCAGACAGGCAGCCCTTCTGCCTCTCTCCAGTGCATGCTCAGGTCCTTAGTCCCGGGCTGGGAGCAGGAAGTCACCGTTAGCATGTGTCTCCGTGAGTTCCATAGGTGGCGTTACATTGCTCTGCTAACCTGTTTTGTAACAGTGGTTTTCTGAATGTCGGGTCTGAACTTCTTGTGCTTGGTTCTAGCGGAATCTCCCAAAGAAGGTAAAGGGAACAAGGCTTCCCCACTCTCCGTGAAGACCACCAAGAGGAAACCAGAGGGTGTGAAGAAAGCTAAGGCGGACAGCCCGGTGAACGGGTGAGTGAGTGCCTGGGTGCCCCAGTGGCTGTGGGGGTTGGCGGAGCACGGGTCTATAACTGCTGCTCCCTATTCTCAGGTTGCCAAAGGGGCGAGGCAGTCAGAGTCGGAGCGGGAGCCGTGAGCAGAGCTACTCGAGGTCCCCATCGCGATCCGCTTCTCCTAAGAGGAGGTGTGTGCCTGAGGGGCCTGCATCTGGCGGGTGGGTGTTTTTCCCAGGGTGCGGAGATGAGGTGTTTGGGGTACTTGGTCATTGCTTGGTGCTGCTGGTCTTCACAGGAAAAGTGATAGCGGCTCGACTACTGGGGGGTCCAAGTCCCAAAGCCGTTCGCGGAGCCGGAGTGACTCACCCCCAAGACAAGCGCACCGAGGCGCTCCCTACAAAGGCTCCAAGGTGAGGAGCTATCGCAAGTCCAAGGACTGCAAGTACCCTGCCCAGAAGCCACACAAGTCTCGGAGCCGCAGCTCTTCGCGCTCGCGAAGCCGCTCACGGGAGCGGGCAGATAATTCTGGAAAGTACAAGAAGAAGAGTCATTACTATAGAGATCAGCGACGGGAGCGTTCAAGGTCTTATGAGCGAACAGGCCACCGCTACGAGCGGGACCACCCCGGACACAGCAGGCATCGGAGGTGAGGCCTGGGGTCCGAGAGCTGCCCTCCACCCTCAGCGTGGCTGACTGTGGCTCAACTCTCTTTGTAAATGGTGGTTGACTCTGGACCTGGTGATGAATTTGGAGATGGAACCGAGAGGATGGCACCGTGCCCTCCAGGTTGGCCTGGGCGAGGTGCACCCCGGTCCTGGTGCAGGGCCCGTCTCGGCCGCAGAGATGGCGCACATGCCGGTGGTGTGGATCGGTGCTAATGACAGGCTGTCTTCACTCCCATCCCGACACTCAATTACGTTAAACCAACAAAATGACTTTTAGGACCTTTGCCTATATTAGGTTGTACTTATGTACATATTTTACAGTATTTCACAATGAGAAAATGGCCTTAATAGCCCCTATTCTCTATCCACGTTGTAAATAAACATGTGTTTAATACAAGTTAAAGCTATATATGAGAACTCAGAACTTGAATTCTGTCAGCCTAAAACTTGTGTAGAGAATTCTGATTTTTAAAATGTGAAGGTATTTAGATCTGTGTTGAAAGTCGTATATTTTTATCTGCGATGCTGAGTGCAGGCCACCAGCTCCTAAATAGAGGTTTCCTATATATGCATTTTATGTGGTTGAATAAACACAATTCTCTCTACTCAGGATATTTGGATGTTAAAGGATTCGTAGTTTGTCCTGCTTGTTGCTGCGCCCGGCCCGCAGCGCCCCATCTCGTGGTGTCTGTGCTGCCGCCTCTGATCTCATTAGAGCTGTTTTCTCTCAGGCTCCTGTGCCTGCTGTCAGAGGCTGGGGCCCCGCGGTCTGCCCGTTCCACAAAGGCTGCTCCCTGTGGGCAAGGGAAGGTGGGAGGAGTCCAGACAGCCTGCAGCCGCCGCACGGTCTGTGACCATTTGGAGCATCACCCCTGGCCGTGTCCCCGTGGGGTGGCAGGCAGGTGGACAGGTAGTGGCCCAGGGGAGCAGGATGGGCCTTGCTGTTTCCCAGTCAGTGGGCCTGTCATGTGCCCAGTTTGGGCGCTCCCCAGACCAGCGCCCCCATCAGGTGGGAGGGCACTGGTGCCATGGGGCCGAGGAGATGTGGAAGCAACAGGGTCAGCGCCCAGGTTCCAGGTGGTGCTCTTTATGACCAAATCATAGAAGCCCGGATGCTGCAGCGAGGTGGGCTGGCTGCACGTTCAGACCTTCCTGCTCGGGCAGCCCCTCGGGACGGGAGGGCACGGCGCCATCCTGTGGCCTCAGTGGAGAGCCGGGTCTGGGCCTGTGGTTTCGGCCGCCCTCCCTCGGGTGGACGCAGCGCTCATTGCTTAATGAGGTTGGGGCCTGAGATGGCTGGACTGGCTGGTGGAGCCACCAACGGGCACTGCACCCTTCTCCTCCCCGGCACCCCTGCCGGTCCTTCCAGCCCAGTCCAGGCCTGAGGGAGAAGGGGTCGCGGGGCCCTGGGAGCCCCCACCCTGAGAAGCAACCGGCTCAGCCAAACCCAGTCCTCGCCCGAGGCTCTTTTGGGTTTTGGACAAAAACTGAAGTTTCTGATTTCTCTTTCCACAGGATCAGTTTGGGAGTTCGCTTTAAAAAGGAAAGGAACTCCACCTCTGCAAGGCGCGGGCCTCCGCACTGGCGGGAGAGGAGGCAGCCACTCCAAGGGGCTGGGGCGGGGCGCTCCCGGTGCCCGA